TGTGAGAGTGTGTGTGCAGGTGTGAGAGTGTGTGTGTGCAGGTGTGAGAGTGAGTGTATGCAGGTGTGTGTGTGAGTGTATGCAGGTGTGAGAGTGTGTACAGGTGTGAGTGTGTGCAGGTGTGTGAGTGTGTGTGTGCAGGTGTGAGAGTGTGTACAGGTGTGAGTGTCTGCAGGTGTGAGCATGAATCCTCCGTTCAGCACAGCACATTAGTTGCAGTGAGTTGTGGCACCTTGCTGCTTTGGGAGGCAGTAGGTGGCACAGAACAAAGGCCAGGGGTGAGCTGTGGCTGCTCTTTGTAGCTGCCCAGAGCCCCAGGGCCACAAGCCTGGCCAAGCCATGTCAGGCTGCACCCAGCTTCTTGGGGAAGCGATCCCACAAGGGCTTTGCACGCAGTCTGGAGGGGCAAGCTCTTCCCCCACCTCTGTACCATGGATCTGGGGCAGGGAGGGCCGAGTACTCCAGGTCCAGCATGGCCTGGTCAGGATTTCATCCAGGCCTCTTGAGTTGTGCATATGAACTTGAACCTGTGCATGTGAGTCCCTTCCTGGAGGAGGTATAACCCCACCTCCCTCCCAGAGCTATGGCACCTGGGACTAAGCTGTTTGTAATGGCATCTTTTCCCTATTGATTGAAGTGGACTTAGGGGTTTTCTCATTTACTTTGTTACTACAATAATAGATTTTTTCCCAACATTAGAAACTCCTGACTCTCCTGGAATGACTACTCGTTGAGGTTTTAAATACTGGGTTTCACTCCCTGATATTTTATTTAGAATGTGTGTATCTTTATCTACTGCCTTTAACTTCCTTCCTCACAGTTTCTGTTTTGGGACCCAGGTTTCCTAGCCTCACACAGGAGCAGAGCAGGGAGTCCCCACGGGGAGACACACGGGCAGGGCTTGGGGCAGAAGGGAGGGCATGGGAGGGTGGTGAGGTCCTGGGTCGGGGGTCTCTGGACCCAGAGCCAGGGGCTGAGAGAGGAGCTTTGGGGACACAGTCATGATGCCCCAGTTGAGGTCAGGTGTCTGGGGCCTGAGGGACAGCCGTGGGCCACTCTGTGGGTCTAAAGCTCTTTACTGAGGTCTCGGCCATGGACTGGGACAGCCTGGACGCAGGCGAGGAGAGGACTGGGACAGAGGGAGGATCTGTGAAGGACCCAGAGGAGGAATGCGGGAGGCAAGGGAGGAGCCCTGGGGGCAGGACTGAGGGGTCAGAGGGCAAGGCGGCCTTGCAGAGGACAGACCCTCCAGAGCCCCTGCAGCTCCTTCCTTGGCTGGTCTGGGCGACTCTCCCACCACCTTTAAGGTTTCTTGGCACCTCCGTTAGGGGTGGGCGAGCTTCCTGTGCCATGGACCAGGGAGACTTTGTACCAGTACTGTGGCCTCTGGTCTCAGGGGCAGTGTACCAGGGACTGGCGTGGCAGGACTGAGAGCTGGATGTGGCCCCTGGGCGCATCTCTTGCTGGCAAGTTCTTCGTAACAGGTGTGTGTACTACCTGGCAGGACCTCATGCCCCACAGAGGGCCCGTAGTCCTGCTTCTGAAACCCCTTTGGTGAAATGGGAGAAGAGCAGAACTCAATGTGGGGTCATCAGAACACCCAAGTAGGCCAACACGGCCTGCTGCCCCTGCTGGGCCCAGCAGAGTCCCTTCGTCTGGCATGGGCCACCTCTAGGTTGGCCACACCAAGGATGAAGCTGGCCCTGTGCATTTTCTTTTTCTTTTCTTTTTCTTTTTTTTTTTTTTTTTAAGAAAGAGTGAGAGAGAGTGAGAAAGAAGGAGAGAGAGAATTTTTTTTTAATGTTTATTTTTCAGTATTTGGCGGACACAACATCTTTGTATGAGGTGCTGAGGATCGAACCCGGGCTGCACGCATGCCAGGCGAGTGCGCTACCACTTGAGCCACATCCCCAGCCCCGCCCTGTGCATTTTCTGGGGTGTCGGGAACAGGGGGCTGTGGCTGCAGGGCTGGGGCACTCGCAGAGAGCTGGGACGGAGGAGCGGGGGGCCCTGCTGCAAGTCTGAGGGGTGGCTGCCGTCAAGAGGGAAAGAGAGGGCACAGCGAGGGTGGAGGCATGTGAGGGCATGGCCAGGCCCCTGAGCTTCCCGAGGCCGGAGGAAGCTCTGTGCCTCCACCCTCTATGTCACCTGGGCTCCTTGCCATGCAGAGCCCCAGGTGGGAGGGGCTCCGGGAGGGGCCCCGGCCCGTTCTTGAGGTTCTCCTCCCAGCGCGGTGCTCCGCCTTGAGATCTTTGAGCTCTCATCCTCCTTGTGGTACATGGTGGCAATAATGGTGCCCTGCAGAGGTCACCCCCTCCAGTTGGTGTTCACGTGGGACCTCAGGATATGACCTTATGTGGAAATAGGGTCTTGCAAATGTGACTCGTTAAGGAAGGCATCCTGGATTAAGGTGGGCCCTGCACCCCAGGACTGGTGGCCTTCTAAGAAGGGGGTGGACAGACAGACACAGGAAAAGGGGGTGTGAGGGTGGAGGTGAGGCTGAGGGCTGCGGCCCGGCTGGGACCCCCAGAAGTCGGAAGGAGCCGGAATGGATCATGCTGGGAACCTAGAGAACAACTGAGTATACTCTGCCCAGCAGGACGTGCTCTGTGGTGGTGGCCACGGCAAGTGGACGTGGGCTCCGTGAGCATGTTTCTGAGTGGACCGAGCACCCTTGTTCCTGGGGGAAACCGGTGTTCCTGGCTTTGGCTCATGTGTGTCCTAAACGTGGGGTTCTTCTGGGCCCCTAGAAGGGTGCTCTACCATCTGATGGGGAAGAAGAAACTGGGCACCTGACCCTGGCCAGGTGTAGTGGTGGAAGGGCCAGGCGCGAGGGACACTGTTAGCACAGGCCGTCTCTGACGCAGATGTTGCAGAAATCTGAGTTCTTGAGGAAAGTGACAAGGCTCACGTTGGGAGTGGAAGCTGGGTTTGAAGGGTGAGTTGTCTAGAAAGGGAAGTCCCCCCAAAGCCCGGGGTGATGCCTGAGGGCAGCAACTTCAGGACAGCGTCCTGTGGCGAGCAGCCTAACGGCTTCTGTCTGTGGACCACAGGGACCTGCAGACGGGCCTGTGGGTGGGGGACACCTCGACATTCAGTGGGTGGCATTCGGTCACTCGTCCTGACGCCTGGTTTTCAGGCACCATGCAGACACGTGTCCTCTGCCCTTGCTCCATGCACTCAGGAACACGCGTCTGGCTGCGGCCTTCACCGGATGGCCTGTCCCCTGCTCCGTTCACGAAAGCAGCACCATAAGCCAAGAGGGAAACGGACAGGGTGGCGTGGAAAAGGGCTTCCGGGTGTCCTTCCAGGTGGACGGCCTTGTCCTGGAGGACAGTCACATCCTCTCTGCTGTGAATCACGGGTCAGAGGCTGCCTTGACCCGTGTTTCTTCTCATTTCTCTCTGCGGGTGGGACTGTGAGTAGCGGGAAGCCCAGAGCCCATGGAGGATACAGCGGCTGTGTGGAGGCCCAGGGGCCTTGCCTTGCTGCTCTGTCCTGGGCCCAGGGCCCTTCCTGTCAGGGCTGATGGGCCATCACGGGTTTCTGAAGAGCACAAACACACATGCACACCTGAGTGTGTACGCAGACCCCAGGCACTAGTACGCACCCAGCAGCACACAGGCACAAGCACAGACAAGTGGCAGGTCCTCAGGCACACGCACAGGCAAGTGACAGGTCCTCAGGCACGTGCAGAGGCAAGTGACAGGTCTGCAGGCACACGCACAGGCAAGTGACAGGTCCTCAGGCACGCGCACAGGCAAGTGACAGGTCCTCAGGCACGTGCACAGGCAAGTGACAGGTCCTCAGGCACGCGCACAGGCAAGTGGCAGGTCCACAGGCACGCGCACAGGCAAGTGGCAGGTCCTCAGGCATGCACACAGGCAAGTGGCAGGTCCGCAGGCACGTGCACAGGCAAGTGACAGGTTCGCAGGCACGCGCACAGGCAAGTGGCAGGTTCGCAGGCATGTGCAGAGAAACATGAATACAGTGCACTGTTTCGGACGTTCAGGGATGTGCACGGGCATGTTCCTGGGCGTGCCTACAGGTGCCCACACTGGGTATGCGCACACACTCAGGCTACACATGAGCACACTCACCCGGGGAGGGTCATACTGTCCTGCCTCATCAGGCTGCCCTTGGCCAGCTTGGCCCCTCTCTGCTGTTTGTGGTTTCTGCCTCTGTCCCCTCCTGCCATCACTTTGGGAAAGGGATTTGAAATATGCCCTGAAAGTATCCTCACTGGGTGGCATTTTATGCAGAAGTCTGCAGAACTCAAGCTGAAGGCCCGAGCAGAGCTCTCTGGAGGAGCAGAGAAAAGCCTGGGCTGCGGCAGGCACGCCTGAGCCCCTCCGGGCACACTGGTTAGGAATGGAGCAGGCGTAGGAGCTACAATGGTGGCATTCAGCTAAGTGCCCACTGGGCAGGCTCTGAGTCCAGTCCACGGGCCGGCCTCAGGGCAGCTCTGACTGGCACACTGAGACCAGCCATGGAGCACAGCACCTACCACGGGCCGCTGTGGGAAGGGACGGGGCCGCAGGCAGAGGACCTCCCAGGCAGGACACCTCCCCCAGCAGACACGGCAGGTTCAGCCTCATTTTCAAGAACTGCTCTGAGAATTCCCAGGCAGCTTTTTGAAAGAAGAGCAACGGGAGCTCCATCTTCCCTGGATGGCTCCTTCCTCCTGCCCCTTCCTCTCCCCTTCCTTCTTCGGGTGCTGGGGACCGGACCCAGGGCCTCGAGCATCACTAGGCAAGGGCTCTGCCTTTGAGCTGCTTCCCCAGTCCCCTTGGGCACTTCTGGAAAGACCGGGTCAGGGGACCCTCTCTCAAGCCCTTGTAACTGGTGTCAAGTTGAAGTGGCTGTGGGGGTGAGTGGTGGCCAGCAGGCTGAGCTGGTGAGACGTGGGCGGGAGCTGAGGGCAGCCGGGTGCCGAGGCCTGGACCTGACGTGTCCCCAGGTTTACACACTGGAGCATGGTCCCATGGGGCAGTGGTGAGTGGTGCCTTTAGGAGGTGGGGCCTGGTGGGAGCTCCTTAGGTCATTAAGGGGGTTCCTGGGGCCCTGCTCAGTTCTCAAGGCCTGAGCCCGACTCTCGAGGGTTCCTGGGTGTCATCTGGTGAGCCCTCTTCCTGACATGTGCACATCTGGGGTTCAGGAGGAGCCCAGGAAGCGAACACCCCAAAAGTCTGGGAATAGCCTTCGACCCCAACACCTCACGCCTGATGCAGCTGAGGAGGCCCCGTGGCACTGGGTGGGCCCCAGGGTCCCCCAGGAGGGACCCCACCACCTCATAGCGGGCCTTCCTGGAGCAGAGCCCGCCCCTTTCTCTCCCTCTTTCTTTCCCCCTCCCCCTCTCCCTCCCCCAGGGACACAGTGGTCACTCTGTGACACTGCCTGTTTGAGCGTTTCTTCCTCTCAGGACACTGCATCTTTAAGAAATGTCTCCAATTTCCTTTTGCAGATTTTACCTTTTGTTCTGGTTCTCTTCTTTTAATACTGGGGATTGAACCCCGGGGTGCTCTGCCGCAGAGCTGCACCCCCAGCCTTTTTATTTTTTGAGACAGGGTCTTGCTACTTTGCTGAGGCTGACCTTGAACTTGTGATCCTCCTGCCTCAGCCTCCTGCGTGGCTGGGATCACAGGTGGGCACCCTGCTCTCTGTTTTGAATTTTATCAGTTCCTTCCAATTTCCCTCTCTCTGAAGACTTCATACTAACGTGTCAATCTGGCAAGACTTTTAAATCTCCTCAGAGAGTGAGAGAAGAACTTACCGCGAAGAGGTGGTTGGCCGTGCCTTTCCTCCCGTTGGGGTTTCTCTGGGTCAGAGAGCCGCGGTACGTGGATTTCCGATCAAAAGACTCATCGTCCTTGCCTTTGGGGAAAACAGAAAAGGGAAGCATTTGGTGAATCACAACCCCACCCTGAACAAGGGCTCTGCCACCTGAGAAAATTTAAAGGTATCCAAAGTGGACACAGCTCCTTCTGGGAAGTTCCACGGCGTGAAACATTTTTAATGAAGCATTTTGGCAGTTGTGCAAATCAACAGTCGGGATGTTTCCTCTCTGCTCTGGAGCCAGCACTGACCCCAACCCGGCTGTGGCCCCAGGAGTGCTTGTATGGGTCCTGGTCCTCCTTTCCCTTTTTATCTGTGACGGGCAGCAGGCCTGTGAGGTCCTGGGACTCTGGCCTCAGGGCAGGGGTCTCTGCTCAGGGCCACAGTGTGGAGCTGGGCCCTGGCCTCAATCCCAGCCAGCATTTGCTTTGGGCGGGGGCAGAGCCAGCCCCGTGAACTCCTGCATGTCAGGGGGCACCTGCTGACCCTAGCAGGTGTCCATGAGGAGCAGAGCAGGCCAGGACACAGGGCTCCCTGGAGCCAAGGGGCGTCTCTTCTGGACGCCGTGTTCAGGGACATGCCACAGCAGGCCCTCTCTGTCTCCTGCCTAGAGCTGGTGTCCCAGCACCGCTGTGTGCTCTGGAAGCTGCTGAGCCCTACAAGAGGCCTTAACAGACCACGGTTGTCCCCGCACAAAGCCAGTCACAGAGAGACTCCAGGGGAGTCCCTGCTCTCTGGCGGCAAGCATGAGCCTCCATCTGGATGCCCGTCCATGGGACAGGCTGGACACTCACCTCGAAGGTCAGCCTGCAGCACTCCAGGGGCCCCAGTGGTAGCTCCTTGGAGTCACCTCCCTGCCAAAGTCCCCCTGGCTGGTGGCCCTGAGACAGGGGGCCTCAGGCCCTCTCTGGATGAGCTAGCTGTGCTAGGAGCTCAGACAGAGGGAGCTGTGCCGAGGCCATGTGACCACGGCGAGGGTGGGACGCGGCGGATGTGCCAGTGCTGGGGGGGGGGCAGGGGCGGGGTGGAGGCCATGCTCTCAGGGCCCTGTGGACTCCAGGACGCTGTCCCCTGTGAAGGAGAGAATATCACGGCCCCACAGGAGGCTGGCTGGGCTCCCAAGTGTGGGCAGACCCCTCAGGGCTGCGCTGGGCAGTCCAAGGGCTGTTCGGGAGCTGAGGAGGGGCGTGGGGAGCCCTGTGTGCGAGGAGCAGGGCTGTGGCCGAGGGTGGCCTCCAACCTCGGGGGAGCCGCCTGCTTCTGTGAGCTGTGGCTAGGCTTTGAGGTGAGTGGAGCGCACGCCTGGCCGGAACAGAGGGCCCCGGGCCCCACCCACCCATCCAGGACAAAGCCAATGTCCTTGGCTCCACGAGAGTTCAAGGAGGGCCAAATGCCGCCCGCACGGAAGCACCAGAGGCTCTGTCACCACCCACGGCACCTCCGCCAGCTCCTGGCAGTGGTTCCAACCACCTGGGACACCAGGGCCGTGGGCCCGAGTGGCAGAGCAGCATCGGGCGCAAGACTGAGCCACAGGTTTCAGAGAAGCACACCCAGCCCGACTGGCCACTTCCCTCCCCTGAGCCGGTCCCAGGCCACGAGAGGCCACGGTGAGGCACTCTTACCTGGAGATCTGAGGGAAGAGGCCCTCTTGGGAAGGCAGGACACCCCTGTCACCTGGAAGAAAGAGAGCAGCTGTGGGCGTCACCAGGTGTGATGGGCAGGGGCTCTGCCAGCTAGTCTGGGATTTAATGCTCTCTGGACTGTGACTTCACCAAGTCAGCTGCCTTCTGTGCCGTGGCGGTATCTGAACTTCTGTCATATCAGAGAGCATGTCCCGTAGGTCAAGCACCGAATGCCCGACTCCAGGAGACACTCAGTTCTCAGCAGTGGTGGAAAGAGCACAGGGTCCAGCCCGAGGACTGGGCTCAAATCTCAGTGTGACCTGGACTCAACCTCTGTGAACCTCAGTCTCCTCCTCTGTAAAGTGGGGCCGTGGATATTTAACTGTGCCTGACACATCTCCCGGCTCCCCGTGGCTGCTGGTCCCACACCCTCTCTCCCTCTTTCCAGAGGGCCGCCTCTGTTCAATGTGCTAAGAAATCCAGTCTCCACCTCCCTAGGGGTGAAGAGAGAGCCCTGTGGCCTCCTTCCCCAGGGTCCAGGCCCCCACATCTCGGGGACACTTCCTGGGTGTCCAGGAAGAAGGTCATGAGGCCCCTGAACCCTCAGAGCCTGGGCAGGGAGGGGCACGGGGGCCTGGGTGTGGGCTGCCCCGGGCACCCCTGGCTCATGGCTGGTGGGTGCGGAGGGACCCAGGCTCCTGTTATCCCACTCAGGATACCTGCAGGGGAGGCCTGTGTCCACGAAGCTCCTTGAAGGACTGAGCCAAAGAGTCCACATGGGGTTTGCCAGATGTCAAAGGCTGGACTCTGTCCCTCTGTGGCCTCTTCTCCACTGCCCAACTGGGTGTCCCCAACAGACACTCCTACACAAATCCTGCCCGTGGCGCCTGGGAGAGCCGCCTGCGGAGCTGTTCCCGGGTGCGTAGGAGCCCCTCACCCCACACTCTGCAGCGGTTCCCGAGCTCTTGCCCTGTCCAGCCTGGGTGGGGGTCAGAGACGCACCTTGCCCTGGTTCCCAGGGTCTGCACTTGGGTCCTCTGGACTCCTGCCAAGTTTCCCAGCAACTCGAGGAAGAAGTATCTGAAGGGCAAGGAAGAAACTTCAGGCTGTTACGGCCCCGCTGAGCAGCAGGCCACGGGCAAGAGTTGGGGCGGCCAGTCGGACGCAGGCTGGATGCTCTCTGTGCTTGGTCAAGAATGTGGGGCGAGCCCTTCTGTCCCCACACATACTGCTCCATGTTTCTGGGGTGAGTGCTGCTGGACTTAGTAGTTAAAATCAGGACGCCCAGCTAACTCGCAATTCAAGATCAGCAGTGAATGCTCTCGGTAAGAAGCGTGTCCCAAGTTGCGTGGGACGTTTGCACTTAAACATTTCTTGCAGAGCTCCCTGGGCATCCTGCATGGACCTGGAAACCCCCTTGGGAGTTCCTTTAAAAGCATCTTTCATCCTTGTGCCAAATTTCCTCCCCAGCAGAGTTCTGTAGGAAGCCTCCTAACTGGGCTGGGAGGAGGGTGCCGGGTTCAGATCCTGATAGAGGGCAGGTCCCTTCGCCCCCATCTCCCCCCATCTTAAAATGGGCATTCATCACACTCTCCAACTCAAGGTTTTGTCATCGAGGCTTCTAGTTTTTTTTTTTTTTTTCCCCAGGGGAACTGGGGATTGAGCTCAGGGGCACTCGACCACTGAGCCCCGTCCCCAGCCCTATTTTGTATTTTATTTAGAGACAGGGTCTCTCTGAGTTGCTTAGTGCCTTGCTTTTGCTGAGACTGGATTTGAACCTGTGATCCTCCTGCCTCAGCCTCCCAAGCTGCTGGGGTCCCTGCATAAGGGAGAATAACAGAAAATGTGAAAACAGCCTCAGCTGGAGGCCAACACAGGGCCTGGCTGTTGAGACATAGACTGGCTGGAGGAGGAGGCGGCACTGTGCTCCCGGGAGGCCGGGACCCTCCACTCACCGGCAGGTTCGACCTCCTCCGGGGCTTTCCCGAGGGTTTCACCGTGAGCCCCGCGGCCCTCAGGGCTGCGATCCTGGCCTCGATGTCTGACACCTGGACAAGAGCAGACAGACGACTAGACGGCCAGACAGGCACCACTGCGATGCCCCCTCCCAGAGTCACGGTCAGAGAGAGCAGCTGTCCCCAGCTCATAGGTAGAACCAACCACAGTGGCCTCCCCTGGAGACTGGCGCCCAGTCAAACGCACGGCCTGAGGGCCCCTCGAGGGTGTGGGAGGCGTGCTCTTGTGGGGCACCCAGGCCGGTGGAGAGGCTCTGTGGATTTCCTGGGGTGTTGCAGGAGGCCTGGCTCCTGCAGGCACGGGCACACTCGGGTACGGGCAGCTCTGGCCTATGCAGACGTGACGCTAGACCGCCCCTGCCCTCCTGGGCCTCCCCTCTGACAGACAGCAAGCTGTCACCCCGGGCCATTCAGAGCCCCCCAGTGTCCCCCCAGGTGTAACTTTCTTGCCTCTTTTCCTTTTTAGGGGTGGGGTCAAACCCAGGGCCTTGTGAGAGTGACCTTGGGCTCTGGCCTGAGCTACGCCCAGCCCCTCCCTGCAGTCTGCTCTGTGGCCTCCAGGCCTCTGCCGTCCACCTTCCTCCAGACCTGCCTCCCTGCCTCTCATCGCTGCTTTGGTTTGGGTTTTTGAGCTGATCCCTGAACGTGCCCCTCTCAACCCCGGCTGGGCCCTGGCACACGCCGTCCCTGGCACACGCCGTCCCTGGCACACGCCGTTCCTGCTGCCTGGACTCCCCCTCCTCCGGGCGTCCCTCTTTGGCCTCCACTCACAGCCCCGCTCCAGGCACCCTGTGGGCTCAGCCTTGCTTGATGTCTTCGTAGCTCTATGTCCTCCCACCAGAGACACGGGTTCCACGAAGGCCCGGCTGGCTGTGTCCCCGGGCCTGTCCCACACCTGCCACATTCTAGAAGGGACTTAATGGCCGCACAGTCCTGACCCCACCCGGTCCCTGCCCCGTGATTGGGCTGGGGACAGCCTGTCTTCCTCAGGTGCTTGCTGAAGGGCCAGGGCCACAGGCTGTCCCTGGGGTCTGGGTGGAGGGCTCCGGGGGAGGGGAGGGCAGTGCCCACCTGCCCAGGACTGTCCCTGGGGGCTCTTGTGTTGGCTCTGGCCTTTGGTATGTCCCTCACCTCAAGCTCCGCAGCCACAGTTCAGCCCCAGGTGGCCCTGGGCTGAGGCCCATCCTGCGCCCGGCTGTCCTAACTTCTCAGCTTGTGTCCAGCCCACGTGCAGGAAGGGAGCTGTGGGCATCCACATGGTTCCTCGGGGCTGAAAGTCCCCTGCCCATCCCCCAGGCCTAGGCCAGGGACAGGGGTGGGTGGGAGACCTCATTCTGCCCTCCCCAGCGGGCAGGGTCTCCAGTAGCCTCTGGGTGGACTGCCGGGGTCTCCGAGCCCACAGGCTGGCCCAGCCCTGGGTCCCTGTCTGTCTGGGGAGCTGCCCTCCCCGCAGGTGGACTACCTCGCTCTCCGTGTGCTGAACTTGGGCAGCTGCCACGGCCACTCTGTCCTCCAGCTCCAACAGCTCCTCATCGGTCGTCCAGCCGGGCTGCACGGGGCCCCCGGGGCCCTTTTCCTGGGCATCGGTGGCTGTGCACACCTAGGAAGAGAAGGGCTGGCCTCCATCAGGAGGGACCACAGGACTCTGTTTCCTCTGAACTCCCCGGGTGCGGCGGTCTCCAGGTCCCCAGAATGGGTCACTCCATTCTGCTCTTATCAAGGGCCTCTGGTGACCCTCCATGGTTGGCTGCCTGACCTGGGGAGAGCCCATGGCTTAGTCACACACCACTGGCCAGCAGGGACTGTCCACCATGCTCCTGCCTCTGCTGTACCCTACAGAGACTGCTGGGGAGGCCTCACCTCTGGGCCCGGCCTGGGGAGGGCCCTGCTGGGGGGGGCCACATCAGGCTGGGTCTCTTCTTCCCTGACCTGCTCCTCCTCGGATGAGGTGCCCTGGTCACTGATGTTTCTGGTCAGGTCCTCCAGCTTCCTCCTCAGGGCCTCCTCCTCTCTGTCGGCGTCTGCGCCTGCTCCGGCAGCCGGACCCTGACGGAACAGGCAAGTGGCGCTCAGCGGCCTGGGAGCTGGGCTGGCCCAACACGCCCAGGCCCCTGCTGGAGCTGAGGTCCCTTCTCTAGGGAACCTGTCCCCAGGCCTGAGGTGACACCATGACCCATGGCCATTCAGGACTTGCCATTTCCTCTTCCCTCCCTTCCCTTAAACGCTTTTTTTAATTGAGGCAAAACATTTATGAAATTTACCATCTTCACCATTTTAAGTCTATGGCTCTGTGAAACCTTCCTACCACTGTGCAGCCATCTCCGTCACCTGCCCACAGGTCCCTAATCTTCCCTGAGACTGTCCCCATCAACACGAGCTCCGCAGCCCTCCCCAGCCCTCCCCCGGCCCCAGCAGCCACCACTGCCCTCCCTGTGCCTGAGGACCTGGCCCCGCAGCGCCTCCTGGAGGTCCTCATGAGCGGCCTGACCTCGAGGCTGGCGGAGCCCACTTGCACCGCGTCCTGCAGGCGCTCCCTGGTGGAGCTGTGCCTTCTTGTTTGGGGCTGACCTGCTCGGGCAAGATGGGAGCTTTCCCCTCTGCCTCCCACAAGGGCCCAGGCCTGCCATTTCCCCAGCCCTGGAGCTGAGCCACTAGCCATCACCACCGCCCTGGGCTGTTCACACCTTGCAGCGGGGCTGAGGCTGGGGAGGGACCCAGGCCCGGGGTTCTCCCCGTCTCCAGTGTTGACTGAGACACGCAGGCCGTGAATCCCAGGGCCCTCATCCTGGGCTGCTGGGCTCTGTCCTGGACTTGCTTGTCCACAAGAACATTCAGGTCTCCCATATGGTGAGTCTGCGAGGTCCAGGGACAGGCGGAGGCGCTGTGCCACACTCCCATGTCACCTCTCAGTAGAAAACAGGCTCCCAGACTCCCCAAGGGCTGCCGCGGACAGTGAGGCTGTGAGTTTCAGGAGACTGGGGGGCTGTGGTTGGAGACTCGGCAGTGGGGTGTCCTTTCAGGGCAGGCCCCGTCCTTCACAAGGGACCCTGCTTGAATTCAGAGGCAGGGAGGCTGGCCAGCCTAGGGAACCTGTTTCCTCAACTTAGGTGTCATTTCTAGAATCCAGAATGTCTCTGAATGCTGGGTGGGTTAGCGAGAAGCTTGGAGCTGACCCAAGCACCGTGGGCCAGTCTGAATCTAGACTTCAGTTATTCTCTGCAGCCTGAAATGCTTTTCAACGCTGGCAATTTCAGCCTTGACTTTTATAAGTGGCATTAGGACTATAACTGGAGTTGGCCCATAAAGAGGTTGGAAGGGAGAACTAACACTGACTGTGCTCCTGCCCAGGGCTGCCTGGCGCTCACTTGGTGGATCCGAGCTTTATTCCGTGGGTGGGAGGCAGGGGCTAGGAGTCCTGAGTATCTTTCCCCGCTGACTCTCAGGGAAGAGTCCAGTCCAGGGCCTGCGCTCTCTCCACGCCGGCTATTTGTGGAACGTCACCTCTGTGACGTCTCCTCCCCGTTGCTCCTGGTCACACAAAGGCAGTGCTGATGTGTGAGCGTGAAGGAGTGTGTGCTCCGCTGGTGCCTCACCTGGGGCAGTGGGGGCCTAGGGCAGGTTCTGCTGCTGCTGAGGGTGAGCTTTCCAGGGAGGGGTCCACGTGTCCGTTCCAAGAAGGTATCAGAGTTACGTGATAAAGGCACAAAAATGGCAAAACTGTCTCAATGACCTTTGACAGTGAACATGACCCCTCACTCGGTGAGGTGACTGGAATGTGCCTCCGTCTTCATAGAGGGCCACTGCGTCCTTTAAGGTTTGCTCAGGCGGAAGCTCCGGGACTCATCCTGGACCCCCCTTGTTCTCATCCAACACCCATTCCTGTTGGCTCTGCCGGCCCAAGGCATCCGCTGCCCTGCACGAGGGATCCGCTGCCCTGCACGAGGGATCCGCTGCCCTGCACGAGGGATCTGCTGCCCTGCACGAGGGATCCATTTCCCTACATGAGGGATCCGCTGTCCTGCCCGAGGCATCCGCTGCCCTGCACGGGGGATCCGCTGCCCTGCACGAGGCATCCGCTGCCCTGCATGGGGGACCGTTGCCCTGCTGGGTTCCACTGCACCTTCTCTTGCCTGTTAATCCCAGCCTCCTACCTGGCCTGCCTGTTTCCACCTGGCACCCCAGTCTGTTCACAGACCTGGCGAGATCCCTCAGCTGGCTCTCCTGCGCCCAACCTCCCCTCTCTCCAGAGTCACAGGCAGAGGCTGGAAGATGGCCTTGGAGCCCAAACCGTCCTTTACCTCAGCTCTCGTGGTCTGCCCTGCGATGGCTTCAGAGCTTACATCCTAGGAATTCAGTCCCAGCTGGTGTTGGAGGTGGGGCCTCTGGGAGGGAATTAGGATCAAAGAGGTCATGGGGGCTCCCAAGACGGCACTGGTGGCTTAGTAAGAAGAGCCTGAGCTGGCATGTTTCTCTGCCCAGCTGTGTGAGCCACCTGCCATGATGGGAGGAGGCCGTCCCCAGTGCCAGCGCCTTGCTCTGGGGTGCTCCAGCCCAGGACCTCGGGGAACACATCTCTTTTATCACCAGTTTTGAGTCTGTTGTGAGAGCAACAGAAAATGGACCAAGAGGCCTCTCTGCCCAGCCTCACCCCATCCCAGTCCCCTGCCTCGGGCTGCTCTCTGTGGCCAGAGCACTCTGTGCCCATGGCCGCCCAGCGGCCTCGAGCCTCCTCTGACGGGGGCAGCCCCACCTCTTGGCGGGGTGCCTCCACACTCCACTCAGGATGGCACCCTGCTCCAGCCTCTCTGGCCTCGCTCTGCTTCTCTCTGGCCTCCTTGGCATCTGGCCCTCGGCTCCCCGTTGGGTTGCTTATTTCCTCCTCCCTGACGGGAGCCTCACTCCAGAAGGGTGCACACTGGGCAGGAGCCAGGGCCGGCCTACAGCAGCTCCCCAAAGTCGCGGCTCTCTCTAGGCCTCAGGTTCACACACCCCGTCAGTAGCAGGGCCACCGAGTGCCTTCCTCCCCTCGCTCACTCCCCACCCCACCCGCCCACCCACATTTCCACCGCTTTGCCCCCAGGAGAATCTCGGCACTTCCTCCTCACTGCCTCCCTCCTTCAGGAGTGAGTCACTGAGCGCCCCAAGGAGGGACAGGCCTCTCCACCAGGAAGCCGTCCCGGCGCCCGTGCCCCAGGCAGCATCGATCCCTCCTGGCCCACTCTCCTGGGCAGCGGAGGATGTTGCTCACGACATTTGATTTTCTGTTTGAATGAAGCCTATTAAGACAGATGGAGAAGCCTCACTGCCGGGGCCTCACAGGGACACAGGAGGCTGAGTAGATGGCACTGTGGCCCGTCTTGTCTGGGTCTCTTCCATGATTCCCTGTTCTGAGGAGGCTCAGGAGCCCAGTCTCCTCAGAACATGTGGGACAGGACCTGGGTGACAGGTGGCCTGCAAGCTCTGCTGGGTCCTCTCAGAACAAGACTTTTTTCAGGCTACAGGGAATGAGCAGCTTCAGGCCCATGAGCAACGGCAGGCCGCTGGTGGAGGGGGACATCCATGGATACCCGAGAGAGGCAGGTATCGCCTCCACCTTGTCTCCACAGAGCCGAGGTACACACGGGCCTCCGACCTCCGCACACACCCAGGCGCACAGTGCACTGCCTGACGCACCTGACAGGATATGGTCAGGGTGACCGTCACATCCTCGTCAGCTAGGGATTTCCAGGTGTGAGCACCAGAAGTCCCTTGTCCCCCTCAGGTCCTCTGCAAGCCAGGACGTCAGTCACCTGCATCCAGCACCCTCATGATGCTCAGGGGCCTGCTCCCCCAGTGTCAGGCACCTCACTGGCTGTCAGGGGCCCAGCAGGGAGGTCCTGTGAGCCATGGGGCAGGCCCCTCTGCAGCCCTGGGCTCATCCACAACATCAGGTCCACCTGGCCCTGCCCAGGGATTTGTGTGAGGAGGAGGACAAAGTGAGGAGGCACCTACCAGAGTGGAGCAAGAGAGGCCTCCTGCAGGCCACGGGAATGGGTGGACCGAGGGACCACAGTCCTGGGTCAGCAGGAGGAGGAAGGAGTTGAGCAGGAAGAGGGCAGAGGAGGTGAGGGACAGATGGACAGTGTCCACCAGGAGACAGAGCTGGAGCCTGAGGGTACCTGGGCCAGCATCCAACAGGAGCCTGTGGGCAGGTGGGGGCTGGGGGGCTGGGGTGGGCCCTGTGGCTCTGGGGGCCACGGAGCCTTCGTGGAAGCTTCCTGAGGGAGGAGCAGCTCTGCCCCAAGCCCGTGCCGTCCCTGGGCTCCCTGGCCAGTGGGGGTGAGTGCTTCCTGAGAGCCCGGCTTGGCTCCTCATCTCTAAACTAGGGAGGGAAACGTCTGTCCTGACGGGACGCCTGGAGAGCCCAGCCCATGACAGGTGTGCAGCTGCAACGTGGGGTGCTGCCAGGGGGCACCGAGGCCTGAAGGGCGGCTGAGCCCACCGGCTCTGCTCCTGCGCCGCCCCCTCAGACACGGGATCCCAGGCTCTCCTGCACGCCTGCCTTAGGCAAGGCTGCGCTCGGTTACTGCTGTACGGTTGCCTAGGGGTCAAAGGTGTCCCCGAAAGCCCATGTGCACTGCAGGGAACATAGAGAGGTGCCCCTGTCAGACTTCCCAGTCCCAGAACCGAGAGCTGACAAGTGTCTGCCCAGTTTACTCACAGTCTGCTGTGTTCTGTCAGAGGGGCACAGACGGGCTGCCGCGTGTGCACGCTGAGACGCGCCCCTGCTTGTGGCCTGGCCCCAGGGGCTGCGGAAACGAGGGAGTCCAGGGCAGTTCTCCCCTGGCTCTGCCTCCCAGCTGCCCTCTGAGAAGGCTGGGGGTCTTCTGAGCCATCTCACAGCTGAGTGCAGGGCACGGGGAGTGGGCCTGGACAGGGCGGGTGACCTCACATGGGTAGTCTGTGCACACGTGGGTTCAAGGCTATGAGTTGTAGACCTCAGGCAGAGCCAGTGTGGACAGCTCAGGCCCCCTCAACCTGGGGGCTGCGGGCTGTCCTGCTGGCCCAGCCCCACACTGTGCCCTGGGCTGGGGGAGGCACAACCGTGTTCTCCATGTGCCCAGCAGTGCTCCATGGCCAACACTCACTCAGCTGGAGGATCGGGGCCGGCCAGCCCACTCCCAGCAGCAGGACCCTGTGCCCACCACCTCCGAGCCTGAATTCCCAGGAGAGGGAGGGAAAGCCGAGGCTGCCCACCTTAAGGCCTGGGAAGGTCACCAGAGACGCAGGGAAGTGACCAAGCCCGGCAAACGAGGAAGCCACATTGAGGGCTCTGACAGGTCATTACTGCCCACAGCTATCGTCACCACTGACACTGAGAGGCACAGGAAGGTGTGAATCAAGCAGGACACAGTGACCAAACCAAAGCCATTATCTAGCAAGAGCCCTGGGTCACTCGCTGGCCAGCAGTGATTCCAGGTGACATGGCAAAATGACCAAAAGCCCCACTTCCTCATCCTTGAGTCACCAGACCCTGAGTCACCCGAAGTCTATTAGCTCCCAGATGGAGAAGGGAAAATCAATTTTCTTTGGCTGCCGCAGGCAGAGGCGCCGCCCCTGCATTATCTTCACTCGAGCCCAGCTTTCAAAGGGAAGTGGCACAGGACACGCGCATTGCTGGGAGGTGATGAGTCTCATCTCCACGGCACCGAGGGCTTTGAGTGGGAGAGGCGCAGACGCTGGAAACGTCCAGGCCGGGTGTGTGCTGGCCGTGGCCCTCGCCTGCCTGAGTGCCGCTGCATGCAGAGACCAGCGCGGCCGCTGTCAGCGTCTGCAGGGCGGCGATCAATACCCGCAGGAGCGGCTGGGTAGATGGCCTTGTCTCCACCCGGAGCGCGCCTGCTGAGCACCCTGGAGGAGGGCGGGTGGCTGGACTGGGGAGGTGACTAGCTGGGGAGGCCAGTGCCGGAAGGTCAGCGGGGGTGAGGGGCTTGGTGCTGCCTTCCGACAGGACCCTGGCTGCGGCAGACTCTCCCAGCTAGGAGGGGGCTTCCCTCTGGTATCCAAAGCCTCTGGCTGCCTTCTAGATAATCCCAGGGCACGGAGGCTTCTTGGGCTCTCACAAGGAACTTCAACACATCTCCTTTTGCCTTTGGCCAAAATGTCAGAAGGAAGAATAAGCAGCTTAATTCTCCATGTTGATAATAAGGGAAGAGCTGGGGGTGGTGGGCACACTTGTAATCCTAGGGACTTAGGAGGCCGAGGCAGGAGGATCTCAAGTTGGAGGCTAGCGGGACCCCTCCCAGCCTCCCTCCCATTGCCTGGGTGTCACTGGATTCTGGTTTTATATTTATTCAATAATAAACCTTTTCTTTTTCTTGTGGAGAGGTTTTCTGGGAAAATATTTTTGGGTTTTAAAAAATTGTGCGGTGGGTGACAGCATCCCACGAGGTGGGGCTCCAGACCCTGCCTGGGCTCCAGGTGTGGGTCTGCCTGGTGCCTAGATGTGGATGCACGGGAGTCCTGGCAGGAACCCCTGGGGCTCCAACTTGCATGCGACAGAACCCACAGATGCAGTTTAGACATGCACCACAGACAGACCTGGGGTCAAGGGGAGCCCTGGTGGCCCCGCTGACGCTTTCATGGAGAAACTGAGTCAGTGTCTGCAACAGGGCGGGCAGGGCACGGACGGCGCTCCATGTCCTCTCCCCTCCCCCTGCAGCCCTCTGGGGGCTCCTCCGCGGGGCCTCTTGTGCTCTCCTGATTGTGTCCCCCAGAAAGTGGCAACCATGAATGCAGAAGCCCAGGCGGCCGCGGCCAAGTGGACCACTGAAACACCCTTGGTGGCTCTGGGCCAGTGCATGTCCGCGAGTCCTGGTTCAGGAACCCTGTCTGAGGGTGGGTGGGCTCAGAGGGCTTTCTCTGGGGTCCTGCAGAGACCTCCTCAAGGCAGGCTGGGGGCTCCCCACTGAAGGGCACGCTGCTGGCCAGCAGGGGTTTAGGCCAACCCCTTCATGCGCAGACTGAGGGACATCAGGGAGGGCAAGTGCTGCAGCAACAGTAAGTACGAGGAATAGATACGGAGAAGGGTTCCAGAGATACCGCCGCAAACAAGGAGCAGCGGAGCACTCCCCAGGAGGGATCCTTCCACCGCAGAGCTACCAGACCCCCTTCCTCACAGGCTGAATGGCAGGGCACCCGTGGACCCGCTTGTGGTCCAGCTGAGGGTGGACACGTGGGCTGCTCCCCAGTTCAGCCACGCATCACGGTCCACACTCGGGGGCACAGATGCCTCTGAGTCCCTGTTTTCCATTATTTGGGGGCACACCCGGAACTGGAGTGCTGACCTCAGGACAGCGATCTCTTTACTTTATTGATTCATTTCAGGAACTGCCATAATAACACGGTTAGCTTTATCTTATGTGAATTCACTTCAATAAAAAAGGCATTTCTTGCTGTATCTGCACGAAACAGGTGATTTCGCTTTGCAAGTAAGTACTGAAGGGTCAGTTCCTCTACACTCAAAAGCCTGGATTCTGTCAAGCCCCGGTACCTGGCCCTGAGCTGCCGTCTGCCCTGTCCGTCTGCTGTGCTGGGCGGCTGCCGCGGTGGCCCAGATGCTGTTCTCGTCAGAACTGTCCACGCTGGCCAGGTACAGCGAGGGCGGCTGCTCGTTCCGGCTGGGCCTCATCCCTTAGAGAGAGAGAGGGTTTGGACTACTCGGAGGGAAAGCTCAGAGTCGACACACGTGCTCTGTCCAGATGAAGAAGAACCAGAGACCAAAGAGAAGCCATGACTAGGCTCCTCTGCTGCCCTGGGTGGGGACTCTGACGTCATAGGGAGAAGGGGCGGAATCCGTAGCCCCCCGCCAGGTCCTCAGGGAACAAGAGCCCCTGCCCAGAGCTTGGGGGGCAGAGCTTTCAGGTCTGAAAGCAAATTTAACATGACCCCCAATCCTAAACCCCACCCCACCCCACCTGTGTGGAGGGCAGCGGGCTGGGAGGTGTCCACAGTGGGGGTGACTTTAGGATGCCTGCCCAGCGACATGGCCCTGCGCTGTTTTCCGTCAGACCCAGGATCCACAGGCCTTCCCGGTCCTGCCCCACAGTGTGGCTGCAGATGCCTATTTCTGGGCTCCAGGGGGAGGTAACGTTGCTATCACCACGTCCTGACCAGAATGTGCCCTCCACGCCCCCAGCTGGCACCACACACAGCAACACGGGCAAGTCACACGGAGGGTACTGTGCACCTGTTCAGCTGGCACCACACACAGCAACACCGGCGTTCATACGGAGGGTGCTGTGCACCCGCTCACTCCCCAAAGCCCAGGACACCTGCCCGGCTCTGCCCCTGACCATGCTGCACTGTGGGTTCTGCCCACCCCCGAGCAGGCATGGAGACCCTGTGCAGAGGCACACAGCTAACCCGGCCTGCCCGCCTGGCCCTGGGGTTGAGATCACCGAGTGTGGTTCAAGCTGCTACATTTGTGGCAACCTGTTATGCAGCAGGGGTCGACAGAGATGGCCATCTCATTCGCTCTGTGGGGCTAGACCAGTGTCTTTTCTCTAATGAGGACGCGGAGGCCGGAGGGTGGACGTTCATGGCAGAGCACACCGGGCCCATCTCTCCGCAGCCCTCCAGCCTGTGCTGCTCCACTAAGAGACAGCAGGCAGAGCTCTGGGGCGCCCCCTCTGCCAGCTCCCTGGAAGACACCCCTCCTCGTCTGAGAGACGCTGGAAAGCACAAAGCGTGTGCCCCTGGTGAAGGGCTGGCTGTGTCCCACCTCGGCCCCTCGCCTGCCTGCCTGCCTCCTTCATGTGCCAGGTGACCTGAGGTCACAGGAGGGAATGAAAAGCCGCCAGGGCTCACCTGGGCTGCCTGTGGGGTTCATTCGTTCATTGTTTGGGGACAGGGAGTGCAGCCCCACCTTCCAAAGCCCCCGATGCTAGTCGGTGTGAGGACCACGAGGCTGTGGTCTCAGAACAATGAGAGGGAACGGGACAGGCTTCCTGCTCCCAGCTGCTCGCAGTCCGGGGCGCTGCCTCTGATCTCATTTGAACTCCTGAACCCGGCATGCTCCCTGGGGCCCAGGAAGGCAGAGATTTCATTTAGAAGCCACACTGTCTTGACAAAATTAAACGGAACAAATTCAGGTTGTCTTATTCCAGGGTCCCTGATTGTAACCAGGGGCACCCAGACAGGTACCCACTCCATCCATAGCCAAGTGCAGCCTCAGGCCTGGTGGAGCTGGCCTGGCAACCGGGTGACCGTGGCCACTCTGTGAAACCTGCATGTCCCTACCCCAGCCAGCAGCGTGAGTCAGGCATGGTCAGCCCCTCTGCCGGTGTTTTAGGTGCCACAGGGAAGCACCCAGCCCAGGGAGAGCCGGGGTCCTCGGTGCTTGCCAGGCAGCACACGCGGGTCAATCGAGTGGGAGAAGGGGCTCTTTTGAATCACCCAGTGTGTGTGCACTCATCCAGTGGACAGGGGAGGTGCTCAGCCACCCCTGGCCCACCCAGAGCCCATCTGGAAGACCCTGGACAACAGCACCCACCGGGCACAGCAGCAGGCCCCAGGGCCATCTTGCAGGAGTCCCCAGGCAGGCACGGTTCAGCAAGGGCATCCTGTCCAGTAGGTGGGGGGCTGTCTGGATGCTCTTCTGCAGGGGGGTGGCACCTGGAGGTCCTAGCATGAGCCTCTTCCAGGATGGCATCCTCCTGGGAAGTGGCACCCTCGGAGCAGGGCTCTCCTGAGAGGAACTGAGGACAGGGGCCGTCAGCCTCCGCAGCTCCTGGGAACTGCGTCCTTCCAGCCCAAGTCCTGAGGGGCCCAGGCCTCACGTGACCCACGGACCCTAGACATCCACCTGCTCTGCTGACTGTCAAGGACCCTGCCCGTTTGCTGTCTGTTCTGGACTGTGTGCCTGCAGAGCTGGGGTTCCCAGTGGTACCCGGGAAGCCCACGGGTCTGGTGCTGCCCGGGGGTGGGGCTCACCCCGAGGCCACCATGCGGGAATCTCGGCTTATTTTGGGGGTGTGTGTTGCTACTGCCTCTACTTTGATAATCCTTCAAGGGTCATGCTTGGATGGGGACAGAACTTCCTGAGCTTTCCAACAGAGGGGTCTCTGTACTGGGCCACTGTCCCCAGGGAGACAAGGTGTCAAGGGCCTCTGGAAGCGACATACCACAGCTCCTCTGTGGCCTGAGTGTTGGTGGGTGGGCAGGAAGGAAGCAGTGGCCAGGCCCTGGAGGCCCCTGGAAGTACCAACACCAGGCCCAACCTGCAGCAGGAGTGGACCCTGGGCCCAAAGTCCAAATGGGCACTTGCATCTGGGGCCCTGCCCAGGTGTCCCCTCCTCCCAACAGTGGGCAGACGGTCCTGCCCAGTCCTGGCTGGCACTGCTGAGTCTGGAGGACACTGGCAGCTGGAGTTTGGGCCTCTGGGAAGCTGGACTCGTCTCTGGGCCTTGTCCTGGCTCTTGTGCCCACAGATACCCTCACTGCTAATGGGGCATCTCACGAGTGCCATCCACAGTCTCCAGCCCTGGAAATGCCCTGTAAGGCAGAAATGGTCACCCCTCTTCCTGAGGAGGGGACAAGGCCTCAGAGTGGTGTCCAGGGTCAAGGCCTCACAGCTGATGAGCAGAGTGACCCCGAATCCTGGTTCACCTGGTGGCCTCTGTGTGCACCGGGTGTCCGGGGGTCATTATTAACAGCACCCTTTTCATTCCCAAGACTGGCCCTCCTTGGGCAATGAAGTCTATGGTCCCCTACTGTGAGATGGAGACTCCAGCACAATTTCAGGCCCTGTCTGGCTCCAGGCAGATGCCACTCTGTCCTGCGCTCCTGAGATCCTGGGCACTGACCCCCATGACCTGACCTGCCTGGCCCACCTCTCCAGGCTCTCCAGAGAGCCCAGTCCTGGGAGGGCCTGAAGTATCTTTATCTCCTGTCCCCACTGTTCCCTGGATCGAGAACCTGGTATGACCCATGGCTATTCAACACTTCCCAGAGCACCCCTCCACCTGGAGCCCAAGCAAATGCTGCCCAGTTCCCAGGAGGGGCAGAGCCTGCTGACCTGCAGGGCTGCTGTGGCCACAGGGACCGAGGGCGGGCTCGGGGGCTGACAGCAGGCCTGGGAGGCAGGATCCAGGTCCGAGTCCTGGGAGGCAGGGTCCAAGTCTTCCTCAAAGTCCACGTCACGGAAGGAGAGGAGGCGCTTTTTCTTTGCAGGTGTGAAATGAGCAAGACTCAACTGCGGTTAGCTTGACAGAAGGACCAGACCCAGCCCTCTCTGCCTTGGGGCAGTGGAACTCCTCAGTGGGCACATCTATCTCTTGTGCTAGGAACAAACCTGCGGAGCCCCATGTGGCTGGGGGCCCATACTGAGCCCCACCGCACCACCCTTAGACACCTGGGGCTGTAAGTCCAACCCCAGCCTGCCTGCCCAGCCCCCTCCTCCAACCCGAGCCCAGGGCCTAATTGCTGTGTCTACCACCAAAAATAAGTTAAGAAATAGGTAAAACCAGAAGCAAACACCAACAAAGACAAGGCTCAGGTTGGTGATAAAAGCCAAAATGTCCCGGAGGAGAACCTGCCCGGTCTTCTCTGAGACAGGAAGGCAGCCTGCTGGCAACCCCTGTGCCCACCACTGTCCCCGCTCCGGCCCCACTCTGGGCCTGCCATCAGGCTCTCCTAGCCCACAGCTATCTGGGGTCCTGGATGCCCTTGGCAGGAATGGATTCTTCATGCTCAGCTGTAGGAGCTGGGGAACCAGAAGGTACCACGACTTTCAGGAATCGCAGCCTGGGGTCAGGGAGGGGGGTGGCAGGGTGCCTGGGGAGGGTGGGTGCTGGGAGGACTCACTCTGTTGCCAAGGGGCTGGGCCTGGGCCCCTGGGCCGGGTTCTCCATCCTCATCTGTCTGCTCGCTGTCTCCACTCCTCTCTCCCGCGCTGGGCTCAGGCTCACCTGCAACAGAGCCCTGCATGACTCCACTGGAGGGGCCGGCTAGAGGGGCACACATGTCCAGCCCCCACCCTCCTACCACCCATCCCCTCCCCCCCTCCCTCCTCTCCCTCCTCTTTTCCTCCCTCCTTCCCTCCCTCTCCCCTTCTCCTCCCCCACCAATCCATTCATTCACTGGGAAATGCCCAGGCAGGGCCTTCTGCTTCCTTCCAAGACCCATTCAGACCTCAGCTAGGAGCTGGCCTGCCTCACAGCAGACGGCCCCACTCTGCATCAGCTTCACCAGTGGCTTCTGGCCACCTCTTCAGGCGTTCACCCTTCACTACTGACCCCTTCTTGGTCAGTCTGAAGTCCCTGGGGTTGTGATGGGTGAACAAGGCTGATGACACCTCTGCATCTAGTCTCATCACTGCATATCAGCGCAGCTGGGGGAGGTAAGGCTCCGCCTCAGCATGCCCCTCTTCACCCTGAGCACCCAGGCCTGGCCTCCCCGGCTCAGCCTCCGTCTTCTCCTGTTTCCAGTTCACACCAGCCTGGTCGCGGTGCTCCATTGCCTTAGACCACGGCAGAGAGCTATGCAGTGAGTGAATCCCCGGGCACTGGAGCTGGAAAGCCTGGTGGGTCACCACCTTCCAGTTTCTGGGGCCACAGGGGGCACAGCTGGCCTCATGTAGCTTGTGGCCTCTGGGCCCCAGCCAGGTCTTGCTGTCCCTGGACACCCTACCCGATTACCCTCCCCTTGGTCTCTGTGTCTGAGGGGTCTCAGATGTGAGAAAGCAGGGGTCTCAGGTTTGTGTAAGCAGGAAATTTTGGTGCACTGGAGGGTCCCTGTCAGCTGAAAAGGGGAAGAACCCCTCCGTTCGCTTCCTGTGGCTTCCCGCCCCAGGGCCCTTCACCCTGACGGCGGGTCCAGCTTCATGGCCCCTGAGACAGGAGCACTGGCCTGCAGTGTCCCCTCCTCGGGGGACTGGCTGCCACCTCTGTGGCCTCCTCTGAGCTCTTGTTTCTATTCATCAGTGTCTGCCCTTTGCTCCCCAGCCTAGGGAGGGCTGATGGTGTTCCCCATGGGCGCCCCGTCGCGCACCCACCTGTCCACCCAGCTACGAGTGCTGCTCATGCTCCTTGATAAGGGACACAGCAGTTGAAAGCTCTGACCTGAGCCTTGGCCTGCTCTGGCTTCTCAGCTGTGTCCCGACCCTACAGTGACCCTGTCTATGGGTTTGTGAAGTCGGTCCAGGTGCCTGGTCCTGTCGAGGCCAGTGGTGCCCTGCTGCCTATGGAGGGACATCAGGGAAGATACTAGCGGGGGACAGGGAACCCCCCCACCTGTCCGCCTCAGGGGACCGTGAGACACAGGCCTAGTGGGAGGAGGGGTGGGGCCGCAGCCTGGCTCACTCTTTGCTGAAATCTTTTAGTCTACAGATTAGAACTGCCGAGTTTCAAGGGGGCCTGCTGCCCGTGCCTGGGCTCTGACAGCCTGCGCTCACGAGTGCAGCAGAGGCCCCGAGAGCAAAGGCAGAAGGCAGGCCCGGTCCTTGTTTCTGTTCTAGGTCACTGACTTGACGGAGGCTCACCCAAGCCTCTAGGAGCAGACACAGAGGCAGGGGGTCCCCGCAGTGGGGGGCGTGGGCAAGGCCCACACAGGCTTGGAGGGGGAGCCGGCTGCCGCCCACCTCGAGTGACGCACCGGGCCTTCAGGACCTGTTTAGTTATGGCTCCGATGTCTCTGCACTAGGGGCGAACGATCTGAGCACCACGCTGAAGCAACCCGAGCGTTTCCCGTTCCCGACAGAGCAGGCAGCCGAGGTCCTTTTCTTTCCCACATTCAGACTTTTCCCACGCACAGCCCACCGCTCCCGTGTGGAAGACCAGGAAACAGGCCTTACCCTGAAGGTGGACAAGACACCACAGCCCACCCACCTGCTGGACAAGGTCTGAGCCATGCTCTGCGGGGCCAGACTCCAAAATTCTAACTTTTTTTTTAAGTTCAATACTTTTTTTTTAAAGGCACAACTCCTCCAGCCACCCCTCTTCCTTGTGTGGTCTTAATGTGATGCATTTACAGGGGCCCAGCAGGTAAACGCAGCCCAGGTGGGCACCACTCTGGGAGGAGTGTGAGGAGGCCTGAGACCTGCATCTGCAGGGCGGAGGGCAACCCTGGGAATCCCGCTGCAGGGGCCTGCTGTTTCTTGCTGCCCCACAGCGCCACCTCCTGGCCCCCGGAAATCAGCATTCTAGGTCTCGGGGTTCTCTGGAGGCTGTGGGCCCTTTGGCACAGAGATCCCGGGGGCTATGTAGCAAGGCTTCTCTGCTGTTAGGTGCGTCACCTTTGTCCTCGAGCCTGTTCAGGGGCTGCCCTGCTGGAGAGGACACCTCACTGGGCACAGATTTTGCTCATCTTAGCCTGAGACTGAGATAGCAGCAGCCACCAAGGACAGGTGACAGCCTCTCCCTGTGACATGGGAGCTGTCCTGGCCCCAACTGTTGTTTCGGCATGGTCATCCACAGGGTGACTCACCACACCCCTGTGTCCCCACCATCACCCTGCCCTTACTCCAGGGCTGACCACTCTCACAGGAGAGCTTTCCCTGGGTGGCCTCTCTGTCCCAGATGAAAGGACAGGCCTCAGCTAGGAGCTGGCCTGCCTCACAGCAGACGACCCCACTCTGCATCTGCCTCAGAGACACTGGTGCCAGGCCCAGCCTGAGCTCAGATCCGCCGAGGGCTGGATGTCTGGCTTCTGTTTCTCCCTGTCAATGGGGGCTTTAGGGGACAGGCGCAGACAAGGCACCTCTGCAGAGGGAGGCCTACAGGAGATGCCTGGGCGGGGGCCAAGTAAGGACACCCTGACCGAGAAGCCCAGCCTCTACTCTGGATGTGCAGAGCTGCTGGACCTCACCTGCCGCATGCCCCAGGGGTCTCCCCTCGGTCCTGCAGGGTGCTGAGAGCCCACACCAGGCTTCGTGGTATACCTAGGACTCAGGTGACAGGGACAAAGCAAGACCCTCCCTCAAACCCTGCTCAATTTCCACCTTCAGTTCACGTTCAGGCATCCTTCCCTCCTGCCCCTGTTCTGTTCTCTCTTTCCAATTGCCTCGCGGGGCATGACGGGGTCATCACGTTCTTAGCTCAAGTTCATCATGGAATAAACACTTGTATTCAAAGACACTAAAATAAATGATGAATTACAATAAATTTCTCTGTCTTGGTTTGCATCAGAAGCGTTGGGATGCCCAGGTCTCCAAAACCAGATGTCCAGGGTGGCCAGGCCTGGAAGAGGTGTCACGTTGACACGTGCCTAGACCAGAACGGAGACCTGGCCGTGTTTTCTCAGTGTGGTGTGAAGCTCTGGAAAGAAACACCATTTCAAACGGTGGGGATGTCGACAGCATGTGGGCTTCCCGTGACCAGGGAGGCAGAGGGCTGCAGCTCCGGCTGAAAGCAGCCGCGTCACCCAGGACGCCAGAGGCAGGAGTCAAAGGAAAGGTCAGTGCACACACACTCTCTCTCCCTCTCTCCGTCTAAAGGCCCTAAAACATGAAATCACTCCTGGCGATGGAAAGAGCGCCCTCTCCTTACCTCCTCCCTGCAGCCGCCCGTAGAGGGACCGGATCACTTTGGCACTCCCGAACCGCTTGAAGCGGGCTCTCACGTGTGCGTGGTACCACTCCAGCGAGCCCACCTTCAGGACTCTGCAGGGAGAGGAGCACAGGCCGTGTTACACAGGCACATGCAAATGCCACTCGCCAGTGGGGCCACCCCCTTCAGCCCACCCAGGGAAAACCCCGGCCCAGAAACCATCAGGCCGCTTGGGCGGAGGCCCCGGCTCACCTGGCCAGGTGGCAAGGGTCGCAGAGCCAGCCCTGCTCCTCCGGGTGGATGTGGCTGCAGCTTTTGCAGGTGAAAAGGCCACAGTCCAGGCACTGCCTTCTGCTGGCCAGGAGCCGGTAAGGCTGCAGGCAGCGGGCGCAGTGGGTGTCCTTCAGATGGGCCGTGTCCGCCAGCAGCTCCCTCTTGGAGCTTTCCTTCTTGATCCTGCCCTTCAACTCCCTTGAGAAAAGACGGAGACAAAAACACATCAGGTGTCTTCTTTTTACAATAGGCTGAAATGCGTGCACAGGTGTGTGCACACACAAACTATCCCATGTGCAGGAGAAGGAGACCCAAAGTCAGGCAAAAGTGGCCTCGGGCATCCTTAGCCACCACAGTGCCAGCCCTGCCCTTACCCAGTCCCTGGGGAGAAGACATATGATCTTCAGAGAAATGACACTGCATTTAAGCATTTCTGTGGCTTTTACAATTGTGCCAGTGCTCGGATGGCAGGCCACAGAGTCCCGAGGGCAAAGCTAGGTGACATTATCTCAGCGAGAAGTTTTGGGGCTCCTCCGGCAGGGGAGCAGGCATTGAGCGGAGGCCACAGGCATGTTCCTGTGAGCAAAGCGGAAATGGCTTGGCTTGGCGGGTTTCCAGGTGGGACCATCCAGCACCTGGAAGTCCCAGGAAAACTGCGTCTTCTAGCCCACCTCCTTGGCTGAGTTTAGATGATTAGCTTCCTGGTGAACCTGCCAGATTGCACGTGCTGGAAAACACACTCCCCGTTGTGGTGAATGCATTCTCTTTGTTCTGGGTTTCAGAGAATGTCTGCCAAACATAATATTTTTAGTTTTAGGTGAGGTAAAATGAATCTGTTCTGAGTGGAAATAATTAGTGAGAGACTGGGTGCCATTGTCCCCTGAGGACTCTGAAGGTCTCAGAATTTTGATGGGGACGGCCCAGCATGTGGCAAAGGTGAAGAGGTGTTCAGAGGCTACTTCTGCTTTGAAGTGGCTTTGGCTGAGGTTCGCAGTCGTCCCCCTCATCCCCAGCTTCAGCTACCCATGGTCCACGAAAAAGAGGGGTGAGTATGGTGTCCTAAGAGAACGGTGACACACGTTCCCATGACTTTGATTTCAGTGGGTTGTTATAATTATTCCATTTTATTCTAGTTATTACTGTTGGTCTCTTACTGTGCTGGCCTGTAGATTAAGTCTCCCCAAAGGTCATGTATGCACACAAGTAAGCAGAGTGTGTACAGGCTCAGTAGTACCCGTGGTTTCAGGCATGCACTGTGTGACCTGAAATTGTCCTCTGAGAGTAAGAAGGGACACTGTGCTGCTCATGGGGATGTAAATGAGACTCTTCTCCTGGTTTTGCAAACCAAGGGGAAAATGTACCAGTAGTTGCAAGACTCTGGGGGGATACCGTCACCTACTGACTGCAGTGCAGATGGAGTTGGGTCGACAGCACAGTTTTCACCTGATAGAGGCTCACGAGGTGTCTGGAGCCAGTGGGAAGGCCCAGTCTCCTGCAATTCCACTCCTGCCAAATCCCCACGAAGCCCCCCCTTCCCCAGGCAGGGCTGGCCCAGGCTCCGTCTCAGGGAGTGCTCCCTGCTCCCCATCCCAGCAGAACCAGGGACAAGGACAAGGATCTGCAGGAGGTGAAGTCCTTTTAAACATCACCCAGGCTCCTGGGGGTGTAGCAGGAACTGGTGTAGTTCAGGTGCTGGGTTTGGGGGAAGCATAATTCTACTCTGCTTCAGGTTCTTGAAAACCTAACTTCCTTCACAGCAGAGCAGAAAGGGAGGGTGGAGGGGTCCCATGTGGGGACACCAGGAGACAGCTGTCAACCTCGGGGCACGACTCCCAAGCTGGAGCTTCAGGTGGGGACAGGCTTGTGGGGCCAGAGCAACCTCCAGCTGTGCTTCCTGCAGTCACCAGGCGGGCCAGGTGTCACCCCACCACAGGGACACCAGCAGGCAGAAGCCCAGCACGCAGCCACAAGTTAAGGTCACCTTTGGGGGTAAAGGACTCCCCATCATGTGACTTACATCTGACAGGAGAAGACCTGAAGCCCTTCTGCTGGATGAGCTAAAGAGGGTGAGAGAGGGCAGAGCAGGGAGGAAGCCAGACTGGGAAGGGGGCCACCGGCCCATGTGCAGGCCGACGAGGGCGGGGAGGGCCATAGTAGGCAGCAAGGGGTCCCGGGACTCTCTCCTGCAGAAAATGAAATCCAGAGATTCAGAGGAGGGTCCTCAAAGTGTGGCCAGGGACCCCAGGAGGTCCTCAGGTCCTGCAGGAGAGTTCCCGCGGTCAGAGCAGTTTTCACAACAGCCCTGGGGCGCATCTGCTCTTTCCCCTTCTGTTGCCGGGCGGGACCAGGTGCGAAAGCAGCGGGGACAGAACCGCCAGGGCTTCAGCCCTGAGAGAGGCTAACGCACAACACAGGAGAAACGAGGTTCCCCGGTAAGTTAGGACTCCTCTGAACGCTGACCCGACACCCCGTTTGGGTTCTGTGGGACAGCGGGCGGCACACTTCCTGACGTGGAGGCTCGCTCGCACAGTGGTGTTCAGAGGTGAGAACAGTGGCCACGTGACACACATGGTCTCCTCTGGGCCGCAGGAAGGGCATCTGCAAGACACCGGGAGTGGCATTTTCTGACGACAGGTCACAACATATGGGTGGAAGGCTCTTTTGTGCAGATGGACCCACGGGTGGATGTAACAGGAAAGGAAAGGGCGGCAGGTCTGTTTCAGAGTCCACATGGAAGCCAAACTATGAATCTACTAAGCACCAGCTTCTCAGCAGGTAACGCAACCCACAGTCGCAACCCTGTGATGAGGCCCGTGAATTTCTCTTTCCAGCCCCGGATGTGGAGGCTAGACTCCAAGGCTGCTGCTCAGAGGACACGTCCCAGCAAACTGAACCCGAGGCCACAGGAGAGCTGAGCTGTCTTCCACGAGGACAGGCTTTGAAGGGATTTTGGAAAACAGGTCGATGCTGCTCTTCTTATTCATCATGCTTTTGCTTTGGAAAAAGAATGGATGCCTTTAAACTGACCAGCTTTAGGTTCTAATATGGTCAGTACTGGTGTGCGTGACCTACGGAAACAACACGTTTTCGCATTCTGGATAGTGACTGTGAAGGGATCCTGAGGTCAAAAAGTTTGGGACCCACTGATTTTGCAGTCAAGTTAGCTCTGTCCAGAGAAAATGATGGGGACAGGAGCAGGAGAGAGGAGGAGAGGAGGGTGGGACAGGAGACAGCGACGCCCTGGGGCGCAGAGCCTGGGCAGCAGGGCCCAGGGAGCAGGAGAGGAGCACTTTGAGAGCTGTGGGTGGTGGTCACAGGAGAGCTGTGGGTGAAGTCCAGGGAGAACTCTGCTCTCGGGGACGTGTGGAGTCCCTAGGAAATTCAGGCAGAAATGATGGGAGGAGATTTTCCTAAGACAGGCCAGAGCCTTCAGCCAGGAGGGGAGGAGGGGAGGAGGGCCAGACCTCAGGAGGACTGAAGCAATCAGACCTGTGTGTCCTGCTCTGCGGCTCTTGGGATGCAGTCCAGGTGACAGCCAGGTGGCAATGTGCAAGAGTAAGGGGGAGAGGAGCGGGGGTGGGGATCCCCCTCCAGGCACAGCCTGGGATATGCCCTACTGTGACCACAGCTACCAGGGCCCTACAGTGGAGGTGAGGGAGGAAGTGGGGTATTGGGTTAGCGTCTCTCAGTCCTTAGATGGAGCTAGCAGGATGGGAGAGGTGCTTGCAGCCAGGGGACGGGCAGAGCTGTTGGGTTGGTCTGAAGAAGCCACAGCCTGTGGGTGCCTGGCTGGAGTCAGGGTCTCAGTGGTGGGTGTCATCTACTGAGACCCCATGCCCATCCAGGACCACCAGCACAAGAGCTAGCAGACAGCACGTGGTGTTAGGACCCCTCAACCGTGTCATCCTGAGGGCCACAAGACCCTCCCCCGAGGCTAACAGGTGGCCTAGCCAAGCCAAAGGAGGGGGCCTGGGTGCAGACAGAAGCAGAGGCCAGGTAAGTGCTGGAGTCTGGTGATCAGAAGCCATGAGTTTCTGCTTCCTTCCCCAAGGGGAGACTCACGAGTAAGTAAGGAAACAGAAGAACTGCGTCTCCTCCGCACCCTGTGGAGCGTGAGCGAGTTCCCGGCCAAGCTGCAGCAGCAGCGACCACCCGAAGGACACAGGAACATGCTCCTGACCAGAAAAGGAGCAGGGCACTCACACAGGAGGACAGCTAGATGCACCTGGACCGGCCCTCACACAGGAGGACTGCTAGATGCACCTGGACCGGCCCTCACACAGGAGGACAGCTAGATGCACCTGGACTGACACTCACACAGGAGGACAGCTAGATGCACCTGGACTGGCACAGCCCCTCTGTGTGAGGGCAGAGACCTCCTGCTGGCAGGAGCAGGCGAAGCAGCCCACCTCCCAGGGCAAAGGGCAGGAGGTGGCTGCTTCTCTGCAGGCTGGGAGGCAGCAGCCTTGGTGGGGGCTTCATTTCCCGCCGCTGTTGCATAAAATTTAATCAAATGTCCTGTCTTGAAACAACACACATTTATTCTTGTAGTTCTGGAGGGCCTAAGCCCCACACGGAGACTTCTCTGAGCTGAAAGGAAGGTATCATGGGGACCCTAGGTGACAATCAGACCCTGGCCTGCCAGCTTCCACAGGGCACTCCCTGGCTCACAGCCCTTCCTCTATCCCCAAAGCCAGAGGTGGGCTGAGTCTTCACACAGCAAGTCTCACTGATCCTCCTCTCCTCTCCCTTTCACTTTGATGACACTGGGCCCACCCAGGAAATCCAGGACAGTCTCCACGTCCCGCTCAGCTGATCAGCGTCCTTAACTGCACCTGTGAGCTCCGTTCCTTCTGCAGAGAGCCCAGCACCTCCCAGGTTCCAGGCATTAGGACGTGGGCATCTTCTGGAGGTGGTGGTTGCCAGCCCCGGGAGCACCCCGAGCCCTGGGAGGAGTGTGCAGCTGAGGTCTCCCCCCAGGTGAGCAGAGCAGGGTCTCACACAAATGCACACTCCATGCCACTCCTGAGGAAATGACTGGAGAGTGAGTCCCGGGGAGGCCCTTCGTTGCTGACCGCAGCACCATGGAGGAGGGCTGACCAGGCTAGAGGGAGCACCCACGGAAGAGCGAGTGCGTGGACAAGCGTCAGAGCTGACATGAGCCAGACCTGGAGGCCCTGCAGAGGGGAGGTCGAGAT